AAAAAAAGATTCAATGAGCAGTACGGGTTGTGCGCGTGCGTTATAATTCTTGGTACATTTCTTTGCCGTCCTCTGCAAAACAATAATGTGTAATAGCCAAATTCTGCCTTGTCTGGAGACCGTCAACCACGACGGCTAATTTTTTAATGGCAGTTTCGAATTTAACGCTGTTTTCCATAATTAGTTAAGATAAACAATGTGAATGACTTCAGAGTAACTCGATATTCGTACGTAGTATAAACTCCTTTTCAATCGAAATTGTTCTCGGCGTCGCCATCGTGGTTTCCTGAACTTCAGACTCTCTTATCCGCTCCGCCGCTATGGCTGCCTTCCATTTCTTCCTCTTTGCCTTATTTCTCTCTTTCTCCACAGTCTTTCTCCAAGTGGTCTTCGGTCTCCCGCTGGCCCTTGGACCTCCTAGTGTCCACCCCAATGCTGTGACACGGTTCATAACACCCTCTCTCTTGTGCGAGTCGTGTTAGCCCGTTTAGTGAAATGTATTTACCAAACAAGATCCATCATATAGCGACTTTAAGGGTGCTCCATTCGGAAGGCCATGATAGGGTGCTGTAATCTTAATTATCTATTATATTTTCAGAGATTTGTCAGCTATCGGTTAAAAATCTCATCTAATTCCTCAGCTATCAGCAAATTGTGCAGTTCTGAGATCATTTCACAGCTGACAGTTAAAACTGGCCCTATCCAGACCCTCTGTTCCAAATCCCCTGTTCCAGTCACTATGTTTAAGACCCCCTGTTCCAGACCCCTGTTTCATACACTCTGTTCCAGATCCCCTGTCCAGACTCTGAGTGGATTTGTTATGAGATTTAAAGTTTGGATCTTGAACGAAACCCACTGTTTTGAAGATTAATTTATGTCTTCATAAATTCCAGTCAATGGGACAGTCGTGAGAATTACGTATGGATTGCGTGACATGTGGTAACACAGAGTAGGGTTTCACAAGCCAAAGTTCAATTCTGATCATATACGTCCATAGTGCAATCTGCAGGCTGAACCAATCAGACTGGTTTTATTTCACTTTCAATCAACTTCTATTGCATTAAACATAGGCCTTGTGTTTATTCATTCCATTGCTCTAGGAGACAAACATTATCTTGCCTGCTTTAGTTTGCTTTGTTCTAGTACAATTATTTTTCCACCCTCCCCCTCCCTATGTCATAAGCATGTAATGCACTATAGTACACACACAATATACTTTACTTCTTATCCAGACTTATGATACATGATGTTACATATAAGATGTATTGACTATAAAAATGTTATATAGAAGATAATATACAAGTTAAATTGAGATACATGATATATATAAGATGCTACAGTAAACAGCCAACGCTATTCAGACTTGCTGTATATTTGCATGATAGACACTTAATGAATAGAGTAGCCCTGTCTACTTTCATAGATTAGGTATATACCTGTATTATATACCTGTATTATGGAGTTACGATTCAGTTCCACTCGTGTTTTATCGCATATTTTCTTGAAATGAATTGTTAACGAATCCTCGGTTTGGCCTTTGGTTCAACATATTGTTACTCTCTAGTGTCTCACAATGTCATTGCGCTCTTATATAAGTTGTTACAGTTTGCAGTTATGTTATGTTCCGGTTTAACTTCAGCAGTTTCCCTGTACCCAAGACGCGTAACGAACCGATTAGCTATGCCTACTATTGAGATCTACTCAATTGGACTCTAGAGTAAATCTTAGGTGTAGATCTTTCCTGCGTCCTGTAATCCTGAATTGATATAGAGAAATAAACTTTGGGTTGGGATGAAGTGCTCCCATACAGGTCACTCTTTGCCCGATAGACTCAAGGAATGGATTGGTTGCCATGGTAACTATGAATCTAAACTCCTTTACCTGACTAAGGACCTCTTTCAGGGTATTGCGATCTGCAGCCTTGAGGAGGATTAAGGACCTCTTTTAGGGTATTGTGACCCGCAGCCCTGGAGAGGATTAAGGACCTCTGTTAGGGTATTGTTACCGGCAGCCCTAAAGAGGAGTAAGGAACTCTTTCAGGGTATTGTGATCTGCAGCCCTCGAGAGGAGGAGGACCTCTCTTAGGGGATTGTGACCTGCACCCTTAGAGAAAAAAGGGGGTGAGGGGGGGTTTTGAGGCTCCCATCTTACCAAACTAGACTAGTATTCTGTTAGTGACACTGGCCTGTTGGAGTACTTCATTGCCAAACCCTTTCCCCGCATTTATTGCTGTCTGTGTTTTTGTTTCTCATGGGTTGGGAGCATTAAAGAGTGGAAACAAAGAATGTGATTTTGTTAAATTTCTTTCTTCAATAATGGGAGGAACCTTCACAGATTATAATTATTTTTATGCTTTGATTGACAGTCACAAATGCGCAACACACGCCTGTGTAGAAAACATTGCTAAATCTCCACTTACACTGTTTTTTTTTTAATAAGAATATTATTTTTGCGCCCGAGGCCGAATATTCTTATTTTTCTGCAGAATTTGGGCTGAAAATATTCTTTTGAATAGCGTGACATTTCTGCTTTCGAATGCATTTGGTGTCTGGACGATGTTGAAGTAATTTTGGAGCCGGGCTGCAAGCATAACGTCTTACAGAAATGTTTTTAGCATCGAACATACGGCTAGTGCTG